CATTATCACGTGACAGCGAGTAGTCGATGACGGGCATAAAAAGTCACTACAGAGCAGTGAAGTCGACTAGTCGACTAGTTCATACAACCCCTACTATGGTATGGTATGGTATGGTAGGGTGTGGTGTGGGGTGGTGTGGTATGATATGGTATGGTGGGGTAAAGCTGAGCTTACAGAGGCATCTCATTTTAGCTGCTTGTAACCAGAATCTTGTTCTTTCTTTAATGATTAAGATCTCATGACCAATTTTGAGGTTTGGCACATAAACGGATCACTAAATCAAGCAGTTCACCTTTTAACTCAACACCTTCTTTACAGAATGTATTGAAGCAACAGCCTCGTAATTGGATAAAAAGACCCGATCTGTCAGTCTTCATCCCACTCCACCTTTCCATCACTCATGATACCACTTTAAAGACTCACTCCCAACCTTGAGAAAGCATCCTCCATTTTTTCTTCCTGGTCGAGAACCATGTCCTCAGATTTAGAGGTTCTGACTCTCATCTCGGCTGCTTCATGCATGGCTGCAAACTGCCTCAGTCAGCGGACCGAAACCTGCCGTTTTTTATTATCAGTATTATTCATCAAGGCTTGCTGGAAAGGTTTTTAATCCTCTCACTTTTAGCTGAAGTAACAGTGTCTTCTTGTCACCTGTCTCTCTTCTGCAGCACTATGTTGTAGAGACACAGCGCAACAGAGGGAAACTAACTTATAGAAACAAACCCACAGCCGTGCCTCCCACACTGAAGTACAATGAAGAAAGAGCTAAATAATTAAATAAGTGCCGCTCTGTTACTTGTCCTTTCCCCTTCTATTGTTCTAACACCCCCTGCTTGTACATTTTGCTGTCTGTTTATTTAAACAGATTAATTAGACTCATTGGTATGCGAGGACGCTGCTTCAAGCTGTTTCTCTCTGCAAGGATCAGCAAGGTCATAAATTTGAACTGTAAACACGTTGAGTCTGGAGGGAAACTAATGGGCGGCTAGCAGTTTCTATAGTGAGGTTTTTGACTGATGGATACCAGTGACAGTATGTCACTGAATGGACAGCAAATCCATCAGTCAATCCTTATTTTTTAGCTCAACAACTTTCTCAACCTGAAACAACTTATTCTTAGTTAATTGTTTCCGTCTCTTTTTTTTTAATTAATGCCCATGATGCACTGCTCCCGGGGTGGATAAATGTTCACTGGGCAGCAAACAATTTGTCATTCTGCTTGAGTAAAAGTCAAAACAAGGTAAATAGTCCTGCAAATGTATGATAGATGAGCTATCTCATCAGTGTGATTGATGCTTCTCCTTACTTTTGCCTTGGTGCTTTGTTTGATACCGTCTGACGGGCCTCTGTTAGCATCAGCTCTCATCAATAAAAACAAACTTCCTTTTTGACTTAGACATCGTAAGTCTGAAACGAGCATAAAACAGCATTTGTGGTGTGCAGTGTATAATTACAACATCTCGTCGAAGTTTTGGGTCGATACACATTACCAGAGAAAGAGATATAGCTGATAAAGGATGGGGGCAACCTCGGGTCAATGCGCTAGCTGTACCTTCTAGAAATGCATTGATAAATAGAGTTAGTTTGGATCCGGCTGAGGCAGGCATCCTAAAACAGTCATTATTAATAAATTAGAGGTTGCTTTCCCAGGGTAACTCGCTATTACTAAAAGGTTTTCTCCTTAAATTGAAATCAGTAACTACCGACTGGAAAGTCTTTGTGGGTAATGTGTAATCATCACTCAAACTGTCATGGCTCTGGTTGTAATAGTAAAAACAGATGTTTTTTGAGACAAATGTGTGCCTGGAAGGTTCAAGGCCCTCTGCTTGCATACACTGACTACACAACCTCACAGAAACAAGTCAAGGTCTGAAATGTAATTGTAACTCTGCGCTGTGTGACATTTATGAGACACTCAGTTTAAAGTGACGCTAGTAAAGCTGGGGTCTGTAGCAAGACGTCATCAGTAGAGGAAGAGGAGATTTAGAAATTTGAATGGCTAGCTCCTGCCTCTGATCCCCCTGCTTTCTGGAAGCTGAAGCCCAAGCTTCGTACTGTGCACTTGGCAAGTAATGTTTTTTTTTTGTTCCTGGTCAAACGGCTGAATCATCTCCTCAGCCTTTATGGAGTTTTGCAGGAGCTACTGAATCGAATTAATTACAAGGAGGACACTAATTAGAATCGAATCTGCAGATTTCAAGCAGGGAAACATCTAAAACTAGCATGAATCTGGCACTCGCGTTGGTAGCACATCACTGGTAGCACCACTGATCCAAAGTCTGATGTAGCATAAGGTAAAAAGCTACACTAATCACTTGGCTCCAACACAATAAAGATAAATCCCATGTTATTCCTCTCTTTCCATAGTTGGCTTGACGTTTACAGACTGACATGGGTAGCCTAAGTTATGGCCATCTACGTCTGGGTCATGGGTCCCTTACTGCCAAAAAAATGAATGGAAGTCTACGAGCAGAAGTTCTTTTCTGGTAAATAGTCTGCATTTGACCACCAGTCCCTCCAACTACCACAGTAGGCAATGTGAGTTAAGAGTCTTGCACAAGGACACAAGGACAGAGACACGGTGAGTGGGGCTCAAACTTGCAACCTTCCATTTACGGGGAGGACACTTAATCCCTCCACCACTGTCACCCATTTGATCCCATTAGATATGTGCCATGAAGACCTGGTCTGTGTAACCGATGTTCCCCTGTCTTCTTCATGAGCACGTCTCCATCCAGCTGCTGCGTTCACAGAAACGGGGATTCGTGTTGCAAACCCCGCAATGAATCTGCGTGTTTCCAGTACAGACTTGATCATGTTTGTCGAATGATTTGTGCAATAATCAGATTTTTATTTTACTTCCACAAAATGCAATTTCTGGATTAGATATTACAGAAACGGGGACAACTTGCCATCATGTTTGAATGATAAATGATAAATGACCCGCACTTGTATGGCGCCTCTCAGAGTAAGGACTCCAAAGCGCTTTACACTACAGTGTATCATTCATCCATTCACACACACATTCACACACTGATGGTGATGAGCTACAATGTAGCCACAGCTGCCCGGTCCCTCCGGCCAGCACCAGCAGGCAAGGTGGGTTTAGTGTCTTGCCCAAGGACACAACAGCAGAATTCTCTGTCCAGAGCCGGGATCGAACCTGCAACCTTCCGATTACAGGACAACCCACTTAATCTGTTGAGCTACTGCTGCCCCAACGCTCGTTGATTAGGCCGTCATTTAAGTCAGGTAGTCCAAATAATGAAGGTGAGGCTCGCTAGCTGTTGCACACATGCTCAGTGGACATTGTATTTACTCCAACAATCCGAATGGCTGTGTACGTGCACGTCAATCTGAATGGTGATCGGACAAAACCACCTCTCTCAATCGGATTGAAATTTCCTTCCGATCTGGCCGAATCGGATCAAAATATTCCGACTGACTTGTTTACGTGCAGAATTTTTGATCTGATTGGGCGTTCAATTCGATTAATTGTGCGCATATAAATGTGACTACTGACTGACAACTCCCTTTTGTGGGTATTGAACTTTATTGGTCAACGCTCTAGGTTCTTGTAAATGATTCATTTACTTCTGAAAGCCACGGATTTAACAGGAAAGGAAAGTCAGATTACCTACTTTATATCAGATCATCTCAACTTTAATGACTGATTTTACAGAAAGCCAAACTACAGCTTTATAAATAAATGTTATCCTAGATTTGAAGTAGGTCAAAACATCAACTGATTTGAAGGTCATTAATATTTAATCATGAGTTAAATACTCAAACTGCTCTGTGATGGAAGCTGGTATTAGAAAAAAATATTCAATTAATGACGCCTTTAAAGCCTTTGGACTTAAAACTGGTAAATTCTTTTTATACTTTCCATGAGTTATGCACTAAATCCAGTAAATATTTGTTATTATTTCTACAACCGTGTGAAAAAATAGAACTTAGCCGGAGGCGTCGACATCTTGTCGCTCAGCATTCAAACAGCTCATGATTCATCCCAGCTTTGTTTTTTTCGCTGTCCTTATTTCGAGTGAGACATTAGCTGATGTACTATGAATGTTTTGTTCCTTACTGACTAAAGACGTGTGTGTGTGTGTGTGTGTGTGTGTGTGTGCGCGTGTGTGTGTGTGTGTGTGTGTGTGTGTGTGTGTGTGTGTTATGAGGCTTATGGTGCCCACAAACATCAGGTGCTTTACGCTCCTCTGGTGGCAGACAGGAAGGGAGCCTGTTGTCACATTTTTTCATCATTACCTTCCCTGCCCTCCTTCATCTCGCTCCCTTGGAAGTTAAAAAAGTAATCAAAGGCCCAGCATCCGACAGCTCTTTGCCACTTCTCTGTAAAATTTTCCTTTTCCTCCCCAGAATTTATTGCAAACACCGGTGCCTTTTCTACAAAAGCTCCTCAATTTCAGAGGTGCAGAAATTCTCTGCTGCTTGTCTCAGTGGAGGTGTGCTCTGTTTCTTTTGACATTTCTGCTAAATGGAGGATGCTCTGCCACTCATTTAACAGCATCATGACTTTTTCCTCCGTTGGGAACCCAGATGCCTTTTATCCCCTCATAGCTGCTCGATAATTTGCTCTCCTTGCCGCTTCGTCCTGCCCATAGTGCTGCAGCGTAAACACCAACATGCTGCAGAACAGACTACAGAAATGAGAGTCCAGCAGCGCGTTGGCTGGAGCGTTGGGCTAAATCCTGGATCGGGGGGAAGTTCAGGCTCCATGATGAGAGGGTCTTGGCTGGGTGGTTGGAGAATGTCAGACATTAGCTCGTTGGCAAATCATTCACCGGATTATGAGTGAATGATGAATAGAGTAATCCACAGGGTGTTAATTGGATGTAATCCTCTGTTTCCTTGGCCAGTTTTTTTTACTGTGTGTGTGGGCGTGGCTTTCTCAGTTATTTTTGTCACCAAAACTCACCACAGCAGATGTTTTCAACTTTTTGCATCATCTCTGTTTTTCTTTTATCCTCCATCCTCTTCAGGATGATGAACCAATGGCTGGAGGAGCTGGGGGACGAGACCACACCCACATTTGGCGGTTTCTCAGCCAACGCCACAAGAAGTTACCATGGAAACCAGAGGTAACACAAATCTGACACCTTCTCTTTTAATTCTTTTTACTTTTTTTGAAGTTCCTTTAATTAGCATCTCCCTTTAAAATCTTGACACCTTCTTTTTGAGCACAGCTAATAAATGCATTTTTCTCTGTTGCTTTGTCATTAAAACCCTGAAAAATATAAGAAGGTCGGATAAACGCGTCTGATACATTATTTTTCAAGCTATTTTATTAATGGGGCTATATTACATCAAATATTTCAGTCCTCCTTTGCAGAACTGATGAAAATTTGAGATCTTGACATGTTTGATAATAAAAGAAAGAAACATTCCTACAAGTTTTACAGTGGTTGTATCAGAATGACACCATTTATTGAGTCTTTGCAAAGCATCTCACTGAATATTTTAAGCTGATATGATTCATGCATATTTTTCTGCTCACTCGGCATCATCATCTACACACCTGCTTCTTTTGTTGCAGCAGGTGTGCAGCTGCAGAACAGCTATAGAGGAACAGAGCAGTGGATCAGTGATAAAGAAATTAAATAACGGTCACATGTTCAGCAGAGGCCAGTCAAAGTGTATGCATGTCTAAATCTGAACTGTAGATCTAACTTTATTAATTTTATTGCTTCTAAATTTACTTAAAGACAGGCTTATATAATTAGACATGACAAAAATCCCTGCTGCCTTCTCTATTCGTGGCATTTTGTCACTTTTGAAACATTTGCTGTAATCTTATTTCACCAGGTATCTTTACAGGGTGTCAGATCCCATCATGGGCTTGATAATCTCACTAGACCAGTGGCTTTATTTCAGCAGATTCTCTCTAGTGAGATTTTCTCAACATGCCTCTGCCATCACCTCATTATTGTGCAAAGCAAAATATGAAACCATCCCTAGTTTTATTGGTAAAGAACATTCAAAAGCTATGCTAATCATTTTCCACTTTGGCACACAGTTACACCACTAAACATTGCAAAGTTTGTGATGTTCTTTGTTTTGGGGCAGTGGTGTGTTTATGATTTTTAAAGACAAAAGAGTACCCATGAATTGATTTCCATAAGGCCCTTCATCTGAATGTTCATGACGCATTTGCAATGATTTAAATTGAAGCCATTAACAAAATGAGAAGTCACATTGATGCGAAACAGCCAGGCTAGGATGAAAGCCAAGCAGCTTTCTGACTAGAGCATGTTGACTGTGGTAATTGCATTCAGGGCTGAATCACAGCAAGCCACTTTATCATAAGACCCTTTTGTCATCCTTGTTTCCCCTTGCCTTTATGTTTTATCATCTCATTTGTGACATTTCTTTAAACCACTGGATGTATTTGGTTGTGCAGGATTCCATTGACCAAACATGTTTTCTTATTTATGGTGTGGATTGGAAAAGGAAAACAGCCTTTGAGGGGGAATAAATATTGTATCGTCCGTGCTCATTACATTATGCGTCAGGCATGACAGGCATCAACGCTGCTTATTTATTTTTTTATTATTTATTTTAGAGAAGCAAAGACTGTGTTCCTCTGATGGATTTCCAGGCTACAACAATAGGAAATAGACAAATGTGACACCTACTTCGAAGTCTAATGTCAGATGTATCAGGATGCAATGAAAAAAGATTCTTTCCAGGTATTAAATTAGTAAAATGCAGCCTAAATGCACATGTCATATTGTAATAAACCACCATAAACCCAGATCAAAGTGCAGGAATAATGTATAGGATGCAACTAAATCCATGTGAATAAAGATGAATGACAGCCAGAGCGACAACTTTAAGCAGAAGGTCTGGAGCATACAAGTGCGTGTTAACACACTACAAAGAAGAGAAAACACAAAGAATAAATATGTGTTGCTTCCCATACAACTGGGAAGGGTTTTTTAAAAGTTTTACCAAGAGTCTGTCGTGACACATCGGGAAAACGATCACAAAGAGCGACATTTCAAATTTTGGGGGGAAAAAATTGTCTTTTGGTCAAACATGTTACATACGAGTGGAGATGTTTGACTAAAATTCACAGTAAATGTAAAGCAAAAACCAAACGCAGCAGCAAATCAACTAAAACTCTTCATGGCAGTTGTTGAGCACAGAGGTGGTGCGCTGATGGTTTGGGCTGAATTTCCATTATTTGGGCGCTCTATAGAGTCCTCAGGTCATTCACCAACTTCTTTGTGAACAAACATATTCTAATACAGTCAACGAATCACACCACAGCAAATTCACAACAGATCACCTGAGAAATAAATAAATAAAAAATCACAGTTGATAAATCTTTGGTGCGAGGAAGCAAAGGTCTGAAGGCACCGTTTGAATTTTTATCTGAAAACGAAACACTGGTCAAGTGTTTCATAGAGATGATTATTATTTAAAGATGGTGTGTCAAGCTCCAGACTTTTAAAGCCACTGTGATCCACGTTCTAGATGTTTCTCTGCTGCAGCACCTCGGTCTGAATAAGTGGAGGACTAACAGACTTCTGCAGAACACACACACACACACACACACACACACACACACACACACACACACACACACACACACACACACACACACACACACACACACACACACACACACACACACACACACACACACACACACACACACACACACACACACACACACACACACACACACACACACACACACACACACACACACACAACTTATAATTTTCTGGTTTTGACAAAGTAAATGTCACTCTAGCCCAGGTGTGTCCAAAGTTTTCAAAACATGAGCCAGAATTGTAAAGATATTAGTCCTTGCTAGCTACAAGAATTTTTTTTTATTTATTTAAAGGAGCAATATGTAAGAATTCTACAATGAAATAATCACAACAGTCTCATCTCTCATCATATTGGAAGGAAGGTAATATTGAAACAGATTTTACTCCCAGCCGGATGAAGGGTTGTCCGTTTTTCTGTTTTCAAAAAAACAAACCAGGAACTTAGTTACTGTGTACAATTAGTGAGCTGGCTGTATGTAAAAATACACCACTAGCTACTTTTGTATGTATGTGTGAAGTGAATAATGAGTCAATCGCAGCGTTTTACTCCCTTTAAAGTCGTTCAGAGCTGTAAATGATAAATGGCCTGCATTTGCTTCCCAACACAGTCATTCACTCATTCACACACACACATTCACATGCTGGTGGGTATGAGCTACAATGTAGCCACAGCTGCCCTGGGGCGCACTGACAGAGACGAGGCCTGTCGAACACTGGCACCACTAGGGATGGGTACCGTATTCGGTACTTTTTAAGGTACCGACCGAATTCCATAGTACCGACCGAGCACCGATTCACGTCATTTCAAACGGTGCCTCGTTTCGGTACCCGTCCATCATAACGAGAACTTGCCAAGACAGCTGCGCATGCGCAAGAGCGTTTTGTCGTCGCTCGCTGTGAACCAGTTGTAAACAGAGCAGCATGGTAGAGAGAACGCACGCTAAAGCTTGGGTCCACTTCACTAAATGTGATGGGTAACTGGGTGATGATGAAACCAGCGACAACTATCTAAGTGAGACGTCCTCATCTTAATCTGCTCCGGTAGGTAAATATAATTAGCTTGATATGTTAGCTTCCGTTTCGCTAATGGTGCGTTCGCTTTCTCCTCGGAACTCCGAATTTCCGACTAGAACAACATGAACGCGCTCTAAAGTTTGGCTTCACTTTACTAAATGTGACGGGTGAAGACGAAACCAGTGACGATCTAAGTGTGAGGCATCATCGTTTTAATCTGCTCCAGCAGCTAAATAAACTGTTTAAGATATCGTTAGCTTGATATGTTAGCTTCCATTGCTACCATTGTTATCAGCTAATGGTGCGTTCGCTTTCTCCTCGGAAATTCTAACTTCCCAGTAGGACAAATCAAATGAAAAAAGATGGCAAAAGGAATGAAGATACACAGTAAATTTAGTTCACAGTAAAGATGTTTGCTTCAGTTTAATTATCAGCTTATAAAACTACAAGGGCAATGTTAAAATACAAACAGTTGTATGTTATTTATCGTGATATTTATCAGATATTGTTATATATTGAGAAAAATATATATTTAATTATAAATGAGAATTAAAATAATAAACACTCAAAAGTATCGAAAATTGGTACCGTTAAGTACCGGTATCGATTCGTAGGTACCGGGAATTAGTACTGGATCGATTCAAATGTCAAAGGTACCCATCCCTAGGCACCACCAGTCCCTCCAACCAACACCAGCAGGCAAGGTGGGTTAGTGTCTTGCCCAAGGACACAAAAGCAGCATTCTCTGGTGGGAGCCGGGATCGGACCTGCAACCCGCTCTACCTCCTGAGCTACTGCTTTCCACTAAGCAAATGACAGCAAGCTAAAAGCAACCCTACTGTAAAGCACCCAATGGTGCTAACACCAGATATGACTACGTATATATCTACTTATCAGTGTGCTGTGTGTGACTCATCTTCGCTTGTCATCTAGAATCTTCTGGCGCTGATCCGTAACTGGCAACAGCCATGAAACTCACAAAACAGCAGTGAGAAAGTAACTTTATTCTTAGATAAATGGACTGCAGTAACCAGTAGCTCAGGAGGTAGAGCAGGTTGACTCATGATCGGAGGGTCATGGGTTCGATTCCAGCTCCCGCCAGGTGTATTCTGCTGTTGTGTCCTTGGGCAAGACACTTCACCCAACTTGTCTGTGTTTGTGGTGGTCAGAGGGGCCGTCAGCGCCGAATGGCAGCCTCGCCTCTGTCAGACCGCTCCAGGGCGGCTGTGGTTTACATAGTAGCTTACCATCACAGTCAGTATGTGAACGTGAGAGTGCGTGAAAGCGTCTTTGAGTGTCCTAAAAAGCACTATATACGTTTGATGTTTTATTATTATTATCGTTATTATTATTAATAAATATGACCACAGGATGCCATTCTTACATATTGCACCTTGAAAATGGCAAATAGTATTTCATGATTTTTCTTGTAGTTCATAAAGTAGGTCCAAAAATAGGAGTAAAAATCAGAGCTGGGAAATGTCTGAAAGTACAAATTTACATGA